CTTCCAACCTTCGTGTCAGTGCCTCGATGTATCCTGGGCGTCCCATGAGCGCCACGTTGTCGAACCGGTGGTATTGAGATACGCGGTGGATGTGCTTGGACACGAGAGCGAGGGAGCAGGATGTAGCGCTGCCGTCAACGGCGGCGAAGAAGCAGATCCGCTGCAAGAGCTCCACTGGTAGCGTTTCCATGATGGACTGAGTGGGAGTCTGTACGCTGAGTAAGAGTGGTCGGCGGCTACAGAAGGAGAGAAGACGTGGATGAGAAAGAACGTAGAGGGTGCCCCTGACTTGTGCGATTTATGGATTCGAGTATGTCATGAGGCATGGAGCCACCACGATGCCGAACGGCGCCACCACAGGAGGCTCTGCTTTGCGAACGATTAAGAGGCTCAGATCAGCTCGTCGAGAGCGAAAATTTCACGATAGAGTGGTGTAAGCTCAAAAACGAGGAGAGTGGGAGGAAATCAAGAAAAGAGTGAATTGGACACATGGGAACGTGAACAAGAAAACCCCTATGATGACAAAGTATCTTCCTCACGTGCGAGGAACGAATATGACCTGGTTGGACGAGTCAACCGCGATGATTAGCTTAAATTTGAACAACCTGACCTCATGGATTGGTTTCTTTCAGCTCGTGCGAGAGAGGAAGCTCAGTAGATATGAACAATACAGACACGAAATACTTGTGGGTCCTTCGAAGGCGTGGTACGGCGTCGGTTGAGCAGAAAAGACATCTCTCAACCATTGTGGTTGGAGATCGGAAGCTGCTGCGCTCGCCTCCCGGCGTGCGCCATAGATTTGTCAGTGCTTTGTCAGCCCCTAGTAGACAACCTCAGGCTAGGGTTAGGGCCCCATCTTCCGTCTCTTCCACCGCCTCCCTCGTCCCCGGCTCGAACACTTCCTATCGGACACAACAATACCTCGGATTTAGGAACTCGCTCGTTCATGAGCCCGAAGATAGAAAGTGCACCGCTTCGTGCGGAGTGCGCCGGGGAGGAGGGGACGCAGCAGCAACAGTACGCATCCTTTCCTCAACACCGCTGCCATCTCAGGACCTTCCTTTTACCCAGATTGAACGTGTTCTGTGGTGGCGGCTCTCGCTGCCGCACGTGCGCGCGATGTCTCTCTCCAACTTCGACGTTGAACGGGGCTCAGACATAGCGCGTACGCACCCCATGAAACACGTACGTCTTCTCGTATCGTTCCGTCTATGTATTCCGAGCCTCTTCCTCCATGCCATCCCCAGTTCGGTTTCCTACGTGCGTCCCTTCTAGCCTGAGTCCCTCGGCCGGAGGTCGATCAAACCTTCGTCTGTATGCACGGGACGCGACTCTACCTCTGTCGCCCTACCATAGCGGCTCCAACAAAGAGTGCGGCTGGCTCTGGCACAGATCTCTGTTGACGAGGTAGTCTGGGACGTCCCTCATCCGTTTCGTGCGTTCCCCGTCCTCACGGGTGACGGACCTCCCACCACCCGATCCCTCCATCTCCCCCGCGAATCCGACGTGCTTTCCACTCCCGCGCGAGCCGCTGGACGTCGCGCCCGGCGTGGTCAAGCGCGTCGTCCTGCTGCTGCGCGGGGATTATGTACATAGGCAGACTCGAATGCTCGAGCGCGCGCCAGATTTCTTCGATGCCGTCTGGATCTAGGTCGAGTCGTGCAGCAGAAATTTGACGTGCGCTCTGAGGACGGAATCGCACCTCGACCGTGGGTCTCATATGTACGACTGTCCGCGCCAGCATACCTGACTACGGATCAGGGTAATATGCATGAATACCACTCTGAACGTCTGACGCCGTGAACCTTCCCAGTGACCACGGCCGTGTTCGCGACGTGCGGGATACGCCTCTGGGTCTTCATCCTCGCCGCAACGCTCTCGCTCCCAAAACAACTCGTGCTCGTCTTCATCGGCGACGACCGCTTCAGTCCGTCTGCTCCGCTCTCGCTCTCCGAGTCCCCCGCTCACGCGCCTGCGCTTTTTCCGCACCGCAGGCAGGATCGTGAAGATCGTCCTGATCGTCCTGGCCGTCATGGTCACCATCGGCGCGATGCGCTACATCGGCGCGAGGGTGGACGCGATCAAGCAAGAGGTGATCTATGCCCGTCGGAAGGCGAGGTGCGTCCCCCGTTCGTCTCGTTCGCGGCGTTTCCTGTGCGCTGACGGCAGTTATGACGCGTACAGACAGGCGAAGCAGCTCGAGGCGGACGCGGATGAGGTTGACACGCCGAAGCTGAGCGACGTATCTGTTGCGCCAGCCCCGGTCCAGTAGTAGGTATCCGGATGGTTATTCCACCTCACGAAATGGTCTTAGATTACGACGCGCAATCGACGCGCGGGGTCTTTAATACGATAGTCCAAGAAATAGCTCGATCTGTCACGGCTATTTCTTGAACTCTTGGAAGGTACTTTCTCCGCGCACACCGGCCGTGTTGAACAATCAGTACGAGCGGGTCCAGGTGAAGTCAACAGCGCTTGTGGGGGCTTCGTGCGTTACCATAGACGACTACCTATGCGACAATTTGCGTTACAAAAGTTTCCCATCCCTTCAACATAGACTCTTCCAGAAGCTGGTGATACTTGTCCTTGCACTTCGAACAGACCCAATCCCTGAAGCAAGGCAAGCCATACATGATTGGCGCGACCTCTCGCCATTCCGGCCACACCCACACGTCCTTCATCGTGTTCCCCGAGTCCCACGTCCGCCGGCACTCCTGATAAATTTTCTCCGACTGAAACCAATAACGCACGTGGAATTCACACTGTGGCTGCTGGGTGCAACCCACGTCGTCCTTGAAATTATTGTGGCCTTCCCAGAAGGCGACCATCGCCCGCCCCAAGCTGTCGTTGAGCTCCTGCCGGAGGCACACCATCGCGGTGGCGCATCGTCCGTAATCTGCGTCGCTGAGCACCTCCATCGCCCCGTCCGCGCGGGGCTGGCCGTTCCGAAGGAATTGCGGCTTCCCATCGGCGGCGACGCAACAGTAGAAGAACGCGACCGCCATCGTAACGTCAGTGAAGCGGGGCGGGGAGTCTGCGCTTGTCGCGGAAGAGTTGACGAGACGCATGAGGTTGACGGCTTCGATGGCATCGGCGGGGTCGAACGTGACCCGTGAGGAGGCGTTGAGGTGGGCTTCGACCTTGTCCCAGGCGGTACGGTGACCGAGTGAAGTGTGGAGCGGCGCGCCGAAACGGCGCGAGAGACGGTCGACGGCGACGGCGACGCCCTTTTCTACGTTGTATTTGTGAGCGATGCGGAGGAAGGACGCGAGTGCCGAGAAGGCTATTGGTTCCGCCTCGTAGGCGAGACTTCACGAGCTGTATGTTAGCGGCGTGCCATGTCAAGGTGTGAGGGTCGGCTCAGCTCACCTGTCGTAGCCCGGGCGGAACACCATTCGGAGGAAATGCGACATATCGGTCTCGGAATCTGGGACGCGCACGACAACACGTCCTTCCACAGTTTCGTATTCGCCTTCTCGGGGAAGGTTCAGCATGTCTCCGAACACGGAGGAGACTGCTTTAAGAACCCTGCTGTACACGCAGAAGGCGGTGGTGCCGGCGATGATGACGATCGTTCCGTCGTTGTACCACAGATCTTCTGCTTTGCGGAGATTAGAGATAGACAGTTCAATGCTGCGCATCGATGAGGTGACGATGTGGGTCAAGATGATGGGGTGATGGAAAGAGGTGCGCTCGTAGCGCGAACTGAAGGAAGGTGCGTGCGGCTGCAGCTGCGGTAGGTGATTTGCTTCGAGTTCCCACGAGTGTAAGCAAACATGAGACCATATTCAATCCAAGTGATCCTCCCATTAGCCGTCATGGGACCTAGACCTGGCTGATGAAGTGCTGGTCCTATGTATCTAGGTACTGTTAGATGAACTCTCTCCGACGTCCTAGCAAGATTGGATAAAACGACCTCGAAATTGTTCAGTGGTCACTTGCACCATGTGGTCCGCGTGTGCAGCTCTTCGGCCACGAAATCATCGCGTTCCTCGTCGGCGACATCTGGGGCGTTGGGATCGGCTTCGGCATCGTCGCTGCGGGCACGATCCTCGGAGAACTGCTCACCTTCTTCGTATTTAAGTACTCGTGCACAAAGCGCAGGCGCAAGCTCGAGGAGACGCAGCTCAAGTTCGCGCTCTATTCCGGCGTCGTGCGCAAGGGCGGCATCTTGGTCCCCATCGTCAGGCGCTACAGCGCGATCCCCGGGCACAGTACGTGTCTCCCTTCATCGCTCTAGGTGTGAGATTCCGACTCAAGAGCCTCTCCAGTGACCACGGCCGTGTTCGCGATGTGCGGGATGTGTTAGAAGTCGACGGCTCGGTCGGGGTCGAACGAGGGTAAAGGCAATCGATACGACGCGGTTGGTCCCTATGGGCACCGGGAGGCGAGTACAGACGGACGCGGGGGAGAACGAGGTGGTGGTGAAGGGCAAACGCGTGAGGCGAGTGCGGGACGAGGGACGGCGGCTATCTACGCGATGACTAAGCGCTGGTACCGTACGACCGAGCTTGCTAAGTATGCGGGCAGATTCCAACAGGATGCGCCTCTGGGTCTTCCTCCTCGCCGCAACGCTCTCTCTCCCCAAACAGCTCGCGCTGGTCTTCATCGGCGACGACCGCTTCAGTCCGTCTGCTCCGCTCTCGCTCTCCGAGTCCCCCACTCACGCGCCTGCGCTTTTTCCGCACCGCAGGCAGGATCGTGAAGATCGTCGTGATCGTCCTGGCCGTCCCGGTCACCATCGGCGCGATGCGCTATGTGCAAGCGGGTCGAGGTAAAATCATCAGCGCTTGTTGTGGCTTCGTACGTATTACCGGGCTCAGTGATGACTATCTATGCCGAAATCTGCTTTACAAAAGTTTCCCATCCCTCCAACATAGACTCTTCCAAAAGCTGGTGATACTTGTTCCTGCACCCCGAACATATCCACTCCCTGAAGCAATCCCAGCGATACAGCTCTGGCGCGACCTCTCTCCATTCCGACCACACCCACACATCCCTCATATCCCCGGAGGACCACGTCCGCCGGCACTCCTGACGAAGTTTCTCCGCAAGCAACCAATAACGCACGTCGTTTTCGCACTGGGGCTTCCGGGAGCAACCCACGTCGTCCTTGAAATTATCGTAGTTTTCCCAGAAGGCGACCATCGCCCGCCCTACGACGTCGTCGAACTCCTGCCGGAGGCACACCATTGCGGTGACGCATCGTCCGAAATCTGCGTCGTTGAGCACCTCCGTCGTCCCGTCCGCGCGAGCCCAGCCGTTTCGAAGAATCTGCGGCTTCCCGTCGGCGGCGACACAACAGTAGAAGAGCGCGACCGCGACCGCGGTGTCTGCGAAGCGGGGCGGAGAGTCTGCGCCTGTCGCGGAAGAGTTGATGAGACGCATGAGGTTGACGGCCTCGATCGCATCGGCGGGGTCGAACGTGACCCCCGAGGAGGCGTTGAGGTGGGCTTCGACCTTGTCCCAGGTGGTACGGTGACCGAGTGAGGTATGGAGGGGCGCGCCGAAACGGCGCGAGAGACGGTCAACGACGGAGGCGAAGCCCTTGTCTACGTCGTATTTGTGTGCCATGCGGAGGAAAGATGCGAGCGCCGAGAAGGCTATTGGCTTAGTTTCGTAGGCGAGACTTCACGACTCGCTGAATGTTAGCGGCGTGCCATGTCAAGGTGTGAGGATCGGCTAAGCTCACCTGTCGTAGCCCGGGCGGAACACCACTCGGAGGAAATGCGACATATCGATTTCGGAATCTGGGACGCGCACGACAATACGTCCTTCCATAGTTTCGAAATCACCCTCTTGAGGAAGGTTCAACATGTCTCCGAACACGGAGGAGACTGCTTCAAGAACGCTGCTGTGTACGCAGAAGGCGGTGGAGCCGGCAACGATGACGATCGTTCCATCTTTGTACCACAAATCTTTCGCTTTGTGGAGGCTGGAGATGGGTGGTTCAATGTTGCGCATTGACGAGGCGGTGATGCAGGTCGGGGTGATGAGGAGATGGAAAGAGGAGTGCGAGTGGCGCGGACTAAAGGAAGGTGCGTGCACCCGCAGCTGCGGTAGGTGAGGTGCTTTTCGGAGTTCACACGGATGTAAGCACACTTGAGACTGTTCTATTTGTTTGGTCCGTTTCCGCTCACGGCGATCGTTACCACACCAGCTCTGAATGCCCCAATCTCAGCTGCCCGACGAGACACAAGAACGTCGGCACCGGGCATCCTCGCGCATGTGAGTCCGGCACCAGTGTCCACACGGACTGAACGTGGCCCACGTGCCATGTTGCTCTTCGACCGCGCCGACGACGGCATCCACAACATAAAGCGCGATTTCGATGGACTCGCCGCAATCGTCCTTGCGCCTGCTCAACACAGACTGAAGGAACCAGTCAGTCAGATGGCCGCCGGCCGTTCGCACTATAGGCCTCGACGCCATAAAAACCGCGTCCACAATGGCGTGACCTGCCGCTTGATCATGCCAGCCAACGTGCTCCTCGTACCAGCGGAGCGATAGATGCCTGGCGGGTGACGCACCGTCCCTGGGAAGCGGGCGCGCCGGAATGTCGTCGGGCTGCTCGGGGAGCGGGAAGTCCGACGCAGAGACGTACGGATACTCGGGGAACTCCTCGTGCAGACGGACAGGTCGCGCAGCGCGCGCGAGGACCCACAGCTGGAGAAAATATACGAGCCTTTGGCGTGTACTTACAGCCTCGACGACCCATAACGTCCGGGGCTGTTGACGCATAGCGCAGATTCTCAGGTATGACGCGAACGAGCTGCGAAGGGGTGCGAACCTTTTTCCACGCCGCAGCCTGGGTGTGAGCACCACTCTAGATGCCAGCAGCGCGCTGCGCGTGCGTACCAGTTTGCATGCGTAGAGATATAGGTCGCGTCGGCAGTGAGAAGCGTCCCAGCGACACTCGCGATCGAGTGCTCGACCGTCGTGGCAATGCTTAGTCATCCTCGGTTCTCGGAACGACAACCGGCCCGAGGGTCATGTAAGTATTCATGTCCACCTTCCTTCCGTCCCGTCAGTCACACGTCTAAGTACAATTCAAAGCCGCGCCCGCGCGAGTCCGCCATCAAAACAGCTACTACTACAGTCCAAGTAAAAATACAGTCACACAACCGACATAGTCCGTGAAATCGCATCACCAAAGCTAAAACCAAAAGCGTCCAATCCCTGGCGAAATCCTCGCCTTTTCACCCTGCACGCACTCGCAGCCCGTGCTTCATCCAGAGTAGGCACGGGGCGGGACGGTCAGCGTGCTTCTGCGCGAGTACGGGTTGGGCGGGCCCCGAATCGCGGGCGCTTCGTACTGCGCCGCCCAGGGCGCCACCCCGCGGTTTGGGGCGACGTTGGACGCGCGCGGGTTGGTGTACGGACCCAGGTGCGTGATGCGGTAGACGGGTCCGTGAGGAGAGGTCTCCAGGGCGCGCACTTTGTTCGAGTGGGGGCCGGCGCCGGTCTTGGAGTCGTAGAAGTCGGCTGGGAGGGGCTCTCCAGCGAATTCGAACATCTTCGCTTGCCTGTGCGATGGGATACATATAAAAGCGTGCGCAGAGAGAGAGAAAGGACGGACCGTTGCTTGCGCCGCATGTATATCACGCCCTCCTTCACCTCGTCCACACGTCTGTTGATGTACTTCATCGCGAAGATGGTTGCGACGATCGTGATCAGAACAACGACACCCTTGACGATAGTGGTGACCTTGCTGGACGCTAAATCGCCACGCACATGCATACAGTGAGTACTCGGAATCGCGGGAGAGATCCATGCTACTCACTGCCCGAAGTCCCAGAGCTGCCTAAGAAGACGCCAGCGAACTGCTTGGGGAGCGACACTATGGCAGAGGCAAGGAAAGTCCACACTGTCATCCCGCAGGACGCGAACAGCGCAGTCGTGACTACATGCGCCGAGGTCAGTATGCATAACACACTTGAAGCAATTGCACTCACAATGACTGGGGATCGCGCTGTAGCGCATGATGATGGCCGCGACCAGGCCTCCTTCGCGCACGACCTGCGCGTAGAGCGCATAGCTAATCCGCCTCTCCTCCAACTTCCTCCCGCGAGCCATGCACCACCATCGAAAGGTGCTGAAGAGGCGTCTCAACACCGTCTCATGAAGAGTGGAACAGATACGCACTAGTAGTTCGCCAGCTCGCCGAGGAGAGTCCCGGCGGAGACAATGGCAATACCGGGAAGGAAGCCCCAGACGTCTCCGACGATGATGTGTATGAGCTCAGCGCCGAAGAGCTGACCGAATGCAGAATCAGTCGCTGTATGCGGTACGCAAGCACGGGCGTACCGGAGGGAAAGAAAGCACGAAAAGCACCCCGATCGGGATGAGCCATCCGAACGGCAGGTCGCGGAGGAACCGGGCGGCGGGGCGGATCGCGGCCTCAACCCTGGACTGGAACACGGCGAAGACGACAAGGAGACCGATGAAGAACAACACGATCGCGACGGGGACTGCGAACGCCGACTGATGTCAACCTGAGTCGGACCGAGACACGACGAGAGGTTACGCACTGAGGTTTTTCGGGTTCTCCCTGTACCGCTTCAAGTTGAAGATCTTCTTCCAGTCGAACAGCCTGCTCCTGTTTTCGAGCACCTCCCGCTCCTCGGGCGTTGGGCTTGGCGTCCGGGAGCGTCGGTTTTGGCTCGTTACGCTCGTTAGCGACGCGCGCTTCTCGGTTCCGGACTCGCCGAGCTTCTCGAATTCCGTGTCGAGGCTGTCCGGGCTGGCAAGACCAGCATCCGCGAGACGGGCGCGGGTGCGGCCGCGGGACGGGACGGAGTCCGTGATTGGCAGGGTGACGGAGATCAGGTTCGGGGATATCAGGTTCAGCGCGGCTGCGCCAGGGGTCTGGTGAGGGTGCGGCATGTCCGGACTGCGAGAGGACCAAGTATGTGTGAAGTTGAACGAGGGCTTTAAAGAGCGTTCTGGGGTATTCAAAAGGGGAATTAGATGAGCAGAGCACCACGCATGATAGAAGAGAGCTCACTGCGAACGTGAAGCTGGGAAAGGAGAAACGACCGGCGATTGAAGTGAAGAACGGTCGAGGACCAGCTCAGACTTGAGTGGGGGTGCGAAGTTCTCCGCAGGCTACGGGCGATCGTTATAACAAGGCTGCATCGGGAGCTTAAAGCTTGAGCGAGAGTGCCGAACCATCCGAAGAACCCCGCAGCAGCGGGACGGTCACAACCCACAGCGGAAGAGGAACAAAAGCATCACGCCGGACGGCGAAGACAATGACAACACCATCAGGCTTTGTGAGGAGGATACAGAGCGAGACGCGTTCGGTGCCGAACGCGGCGAAGCGCCGCCATGGAAACGTAATACGCATGAATATTCTCGGCGCACTGTGCGCCTCTGCTGCTCCCTCGAGGCTCGAAGATGGAGGCGACTGAAGTCATGAGCACGCGGCGCGAACTCACCTCTCAACGCGAGGTGCTGCACTTGTCGAGTAACTGTCACACGGGCCGGAGTTGTGATACACCTTCAACTACAAAGAGTGGGGTAGAGACTGGACTGAGAACGCGTTGGAACCTCCTCGTGAATTCAATATGAGATGTATAAAACACAAGACGCACAATACATTGCTATACACCGACTCATGTTGCAGATACCCATAGGTGTCCATGCCACGCTTAAAGGGTTCCACCGGGCTTTGCTCCTGGAAGCGCCGGCAACTCAAGCTCATCCGTTGAATATCGATCGCACCCGCCCTTTGAATAGACCGCCCTCGAAGAGGGAAGCGCAGGGATGTCAACCCCGCTTGTTCGGGGGGTTGCGGTACAGTGAGGGTTCGAGGCCCAGGTCCGAGTGTCGAGTGTCGAGTTCGAACGCGAACCCTCGGCGAGGGCCTCCTCCAGTATGGGGGACGCAACAGCGAACAGAGCGTCGACCGACTGTACTTCGCGCAGCTTTTCTTTCCTGAGTGATGTACATTGGCACGATGAACACACAACAGCGAACGCCGCGAAAGGACGTACCTCGCTTGTCTCCGCGCGTAGATGACCTCCTCCTTGATCATCTCAATCCGCCTGTTGACGTACCACATCGCGACAATTGTGACTATCACAATGACCGCGACGACCGCAACATTGAGGAGAGCAACCCGGGCTGCTCGCGTGACGCAAAAGAACAGCGTCAAAAGATGATATCGCCGAAGATAGCAATGGAGACGTACTCGGGGGTCCGTTTCGGTTCGCGCCCAGGAAGACGACGGCAAATTGCTTGGGGAGCGAGAGAGCCGCTGAGATTAGGTACGTCCAGATGCTGACGCCACACGTCGCGAAGACGGCCGTCGTGACTAGATAGATCAGGGAGCAAGGCATTGGCTACGACAAACGCGTGACGAGAACAGAAGCACGCACAGTGTCCTGGAATAGCGCTATAGCGCATGATGATGGGGACGAAGAGCCCGCCTTCTCGCACGACCTGAGCGAGCAGCGCGTACGTCAACTGTGTTTGTTCCCATTTGCGCCCACGGCTCATGCACCACCACTTGAAGGCACTTCGTCAAGAGGTGAGCGAAAAGTAGCAGTTGTACAAGAAGTGAGCTTACTAGAAGTTGCCAATCTCGCCGATGAATGTACCCGCGCATACAATCCCAAAGCCTATCCAGGGCCCCCACACATCTCCGACGAGAACTGCGACGATTTCTTGTCCAAACAGCTGCATACAACGATCATCATCATCGCTTAATCTCGAGATACCTAAGAAGGTACTTACTGGCGGAAACGAAAGGACGAAGAAGATCGCAATTGGGATCAGCCATCCGGCGGGCATACTGTTGGGTTCGCAAGTCAGTAAACGGCGACACCCGACACGCCACATGTAGCAGCCGGCACCCACTGTTCGAGCTTTTTCGCAGTGGGATCGAGCGCGTTCTCAATCTTGTCTTGCATCGACAGGAACACGATGATGAACGTGAGCAGCATCGTTCCCGCGATGATACCCCCTGCACCACAGAGCCCTCCCCCTGGTCACCACACGCACAGAGCCATCGCAATAGGAGAGCACTCACACATGTTCTTCCGGTTGAAGTGCTTCCGCCATGCCCACACCTGCCTCCACCCGCACACACGCGACTTCTCCGTCAGGACAAGCGTCTCGCTCGGCGTCGGACTCGGCGTGCGCACGAGCGAGCGCCCGTCCGCCGCGAGGTCTAATGCATCCTCTTCGGCAACCTCAAGCTCGCATGGGCGTTTGGCCTTCTTCGACTTGCGGGGCTTGCTGGCGGAGGTGGAAGCTGGTGGCTGTTGGGAAGGCCGGCTAGGGTTAGGGCTTCGGGTGGCCGCATAGGTGGGAGTGGGAGCGACGATATCGGGCGCGGCCGCGCTTCGAGGTGGGTATCCATGACTGGCCGCCTGGTCGCCTCCAGATACTGACGTGTGTGGGTGAGGCGAGTCCATGAAGGAGGGAGGAAAGACGGGGCGAGCGACGCGCGGTCGGTGCTGGAGGGGAGATGTCAGCCTCCTGGGTTCGCCCCCGTCGGGGATTAAAGGCGATTACTGACATCGCGACCTTCCGTTTCAAACTTTCATCCCCGCGAAGAAGGCTGTGGCAGCCGAGATCGCATCTGACCTTGAGAGAGGCGCGGGCGCGAACGCCGTGCAGATGCAACGGCGCACGCTGCATGCCGTTTGCGCGCTATTGCCGCAGGCCACTATCTTCGACTACACCAACTGAGCTCAGTTGGATGTCGATGCTTGCTCACTGGAAAAGAACGT